TCGCGGAGAACCTAACGGGTAACCGGGGCTCCGGCTCGACGTGCAGGAGAAGGAACGGGGTGGTTTTTAGTCAGTAAGAGTCTGACACTCCCTCCCGCCTCACCCAGGCGGGGGCAGTCATTCGATGATTTTCCCCCCTTAAAAAAAAAAAAAAAAAAAAAGGCAAATAGGTTCCTAAGTACATTTTGGGAAGTAAATAAAGATTATTGATTCAATAACTTTAATGTTTATTTATTGTAGTTCATAAGCATGTTATAACGTCTTTCGTTATGACGACAAACAGTATCGCTACTTGTAATAAGTGATAAAGTAAATGCAAGAGAACTATTTGTTTTATCACAATGTAAAGAAAATTCTAGTATTTTCTCCTGTCGTGGATGCGTTCACTAACATAAAATTTCACATAGACATTAATTACACTCAGACAAGGTACAATTTGTAGACAACATAGTTATGTGAGGGAATCCATCTCGCGGCACTGGAGTCGCTGGCGACGGTTCCTTACCCACGCCGCACTGCTTAGTAAAATTTTCTATCAGCATTCTATGGAAACCTTAAGCATTTTCCATTCAATTACAGTAAGTTGGAATAGTTGTCGATGTCGCCTAGTCTGATTTTTACGAGTTTTTGCTATTGTCAATCCAAATACAAAAAACCAAAGTTATTATAAAACTCGATTTATTTATCAACAATTACATCATATATTCTAATCACAGGATTATCAAATTACATTCAATCAAAATATTCTATCAATCACAATACAATTATACAAACTTATCTTAAAAATATCAATACAAAAACTTACATGTCCGAAACTTGTTATAATGCGAGTCCTGAAAATACGAATATCTTACTATGGCGTCCTGTGAATAATTAGAATATATTATTCTAGTACCTTTACATCAGTTTAAAATGCGGTGATTCGGGTGCATTATCGAATGTCAGTTAACAATTTACTGGTTAAATATTGTCAGGTTTGTGGTCTAAAACGAAATAATATTATGCTACGTAAAATCTACATATTTGTTACTCCGGCGTGAAAACCACCATGTTTATATAATGGGGAGATTTTACAAATCTCAATAAATTAAAACGTCACAATAACAGCAATTACAATGTTTGTTGCTTCTACGCCGTACATACATAATTCATTGGCGAGAGACATAAATATAAAACAAGATTACTGTTCAAGATATTGAAAAATATAAATACACATAATTACCTCGTCAACAATATTTAATTAGTCTCATTATTACAAAGTTACGTCTAAAAATTAAACTATTTCTAAATTAAAACTAGCAACAAACCAGGTACCTAAAACAAACCTTATATCAAATTCAGTCCGCCGTCATAGAACACTGCTTACAAAACGTAGTCAACACACAAGTTGTCACAACATACTGTGACAACACAATACTAGTATTCATAAGCTTAGGAACTCGATGGGATCTTGGCCAGTTCATAGATTGCTTCTCCTCTAAGTTGGTGTAGGCTGGATACTTTTGCTAATGATATGTCCAAATACTTGTTATATACAGCCTTATATCTAGAGCTATCTACATTGACGACGATTTTGGCAAGTTTCCTAATGATAGGGTCAATATGTTCGAGGCTATATCCTGAGTAGTACGACAGAGTCGGTGTCCACACCTCTTCAAGCTTCTTGCCCGACAGAAGGTGCAGAGACAGGCAGATGGCGGCCGCAGCTAGTTCCGATGGTCTGTAGTGCGCCATTGTATACTCAACAAGACTGAGGTCTACTAAATATTTGGCTAAATGATGATTTTTCGATGTTCCATGAGCTGCTTTCACAAACCTGGAAACAAGATAACAATTTTAATACAAAGACCAGTTATAAAGTTTAGGGACTCAGCTCAAAATTAGTCAAATCTAGCCGAATTTTCTATGTACAAAGTCTAGCCAAATAAATTACCTCCTCAAGAAGCTAAGTGGAATAGGTCTAGCCAGGCAGAAGCCTAGTTTAGACATGATTTCTCTTTCACACTGGAACACGTCAGCTTTGGTGTACGCGTGGTCGGTCACATACACGAAGTCGCCGACATCAGGAGCGTAGATCTCTTCGTACTTGCTGGCTATGAACATCGCCGTCACGCCGACAAGCTGCAGCTGATTCCGTTGAACGTTTGGTACTGCCTGTAATGTAAAGACGAAATATAATGCTTAGAGCAGACATTCCCAAACTTATTTTTCTCATGAACCACTTTCAAAGTTTTACAGGTTTCGGTGGACCCCCTGCTGCTATATATCTACCATATCCTTAAAGTCTCAAAAAAAACTAATTGTGTCGCTTACGAGTTCTATCCCTATACAGCGTGTATTTGTGAACATTTACATCTCTTCAACCGTGTGTTCTACCAACCATTTTAAACAACATTTGTTGTGTGGCTTTTCGAAATTCGCATAGAAAGTTTCAACTTTCATACGAAGTCGGTTACGTAACTTGGTCATTTTGTATGCGGAGTCGAAAAAAGAGAAAAAAGAAAAAAGTCAAATACGCAATGTTTGGTTTGAATTTGATCAAGTTTTCTTTTAAATCTGGATCTATGCTTTCTAGGAATTCTAATACGGAATCGAAAACAGAGTTACAACGTACTTATAACAATCTAGGTAGGCCCTTATAAAAAACTATGCTCACATTTTTACTCTTTACTACCAAAAGAAGATACTTTTTCGTGGACCCCCATTAACATCTTATGGACCCCCATTGTTTATTCACTCCTATGTAGACCCCCAGCAAGTCTCCCGTGGACCCCTAGGGGTCCACCTGGACCACTTAGGGAATCACTGGTTTAGAGGTACTGACTATTATTAGAACTTTATAAAAATCTAGGTCTACCATTTGTGTAAGTAGTAAATATATTGTTGTGAGAAAAATACGCAAAAAACATAATGCATTTACATGCATGGTTAACTTGTGTACGTAAAAAGTATAAAAGTAAACTATTGTGATCAAATAGTAAGCTATGTATCTTTACCTGTAAGTATCGGTCAATGATTCCAACAGTCAAGTGGAATGTCTCCAGCACCAGAGAGAACTGCCTCTGTACCTCCACCAGCCAGTCAATAAGAGTTGCCCTCATCTTTCCAGTTATCACAGTCTGGAAGAAAAAATAATAGCATCGAATTTGTAATCCTTCAGTAAATTAATGGGTAAATAAGTGTATAATTTGTTTAAAAGCATGAGTAGCTAATATTATCAAGGATGGATGGATATTAATGACATAAAGTAGTGTTACTGGAGCTATTAAAATTGTCAGTAGTAAACTGATCTTGTGAGTAATGAAGAAGTTGCTTGTGCTGGCCATAGATGGCTATGGTGTGAATACAAAATAAATGAAGTACAAACCTGTTTCCTCAAATGGTCTACTTCAATAGGATACTTAATCTCCAACTCAGTCAGATAGTTGTAGATATCCTTAATGTAGATGGACATAAGCAGCGGACTGTTATTGTCTCCAGCATCAATGTCTTCAATATCATCAGGCAGTTGAGGAGTATCATTCAAGTCAGAGTTCAATAAGGCTGCATAGCTTTCAACCTTCTTCTTGTCTATGATTGAAGTCTTCTCATAAGCCTCTTCTAATTTCAATTTTCCAAGTGATTCAGTAGATTCTTTGAGAATTGGCTTCAATGCTTTGATTTCTTTGTTTTCCTTTAGTGTTGGCAGCTTAGATGATTTCTTAGCTTCTTGCAACTTCTTAGTTTGAATGTAAACGTTTATCGATTCTTTGAGCTCAGTTGGTTTGTTCTGGGCGTCTTTCAAGATTGCCTGTGAACAAATTTTTAATAAAGTAGGAATAATAGCAAGTTTGTGACATCTACTAGTAACAGTAAATAATTACTGTTTGATGTTATCTTGGAACAAATGGCTTATTTCATGATAATAAATTTGGTCCACAAAGCTCAAGAAAACAGCAATATTGCATGTCAACATTGACTTTGTTTTACTGATAACTTAAAATATTATTATTGAATTAAATATTTTTGACAAGTGGTTGTAAAGTGCAGTATAACTTTCCAATGTTTACTAATAGCTTATTACTTAAATATCTATTAATTTAAGTAGTCCACTCCGTTATTCAATAAATAAGAGATGCTAAATCACATTATCTGCAAATAGAGTAAATAAATAAAAAATAAACTTACCCGGTTGCGAGCCGCAGCTCTGACAGCAAGGCCAGCAGTGCTTTCCTCTCGGCGCAGTGGAGGTCTGGATGACGGCTGTACCACCGGCGCCGCTTTAGCTGCCAAACCAGTATCCACCTTCGACTGAACATGGCTATAATTGCTGAAAATACAAAAAATTACATCTACCTACTGCACTGTGAAATAATTAATTAATCAAGTAAAACAATGGACAACAATTTAATAACACAATAATAACATAACCCTAAAATAAAAAACAATAGACCTAATTTTAAAAACATCGTTAGAAATATCACCATGCAATACAAAATGACCAGCTGATTGTAGTGATAATACGTATAGTGGGTAACTGAAATTTTACCTTCGTAAAACAGCCCGATTTAGCGTAGCTTTCTTCTCAAACTCAGCAGCAGCCACAGCAACTTTACCACCGATTTCACGATGAGTTTGAACGTTCGTGTTTATATCCCCTAACGCTCCACGCACAGTCAAACCTTGCTTTTTAGCAGGAATCGCCACATTTGCTTTGCCTTTTATAGCATAAATATTTTCCTGGTCCTGGATCTGAGCCTAGTAGGTAAACACAAATTACATATATTCGTTTAAATCAATACTTGGTAATAAGTAACAATAAACTATATAACGACTATTCATTTGATAAGTGATTGGTACCGTTCGGTGTCTTCTCATCTGGATCTCCATTTTAATGTCTTTTCTTGATAAACTCGTCTGCAAATAAGTTACAGATCCACCAACTGATATTATTTTGGCACAGTCGTTGTATTTCACCCAGCTGTGCCAGTGTTATCCAAACCTTTTGATATAAATTTTTACAACGCTTGCTCAACTCCGTCTCAAAAATAACGGCTGATAATTCAAAGACCACAACAGTTTGCTGCTATTGGTTGACGCGATCTTGGTTCTGATTGGCTCACAGCTGCTACCCGGAAGTTCTGGACAATTACTGATAAATTATTTTAAAAAATCAACACATTCTATGCAATAAACTTAATTTACGTTTCTTATTTTTAATTATTTATGTTAATAAATCTATCATTATATTTCGGTAAAAGTGTAATATAAATTTTTTGTTATTTATAAATTTACCATTTGACCAATATCCGCTGACATTTTAGATGTTGTCTATGCTAGTTTAGATGATATTCTCAACTCAACATTTTATTATTATAAAATCTATCATATATTCAATAAAAGATTATTAATAGATTTGTTAACAATAAATTAGAATTGATCTGAGGAATATTTTTTATAAAATTACAATTTTCAACATGTTTATCATAGACAATCTTACTTTTTTTTACAAAACGTTCCGGTCTTCAAGTTAAACATACTTGAAAACTACACTATTATAGGTTACATTATTAAATAACAAATACGCTTTTTTATATTATATGATGCATGCATAAAATTGGAACTCAAATTAACAACATTATAACCTGAAAGCAGTTCTACGATTAGTATTTTATTCAAATATAACTATTTTTTGTTGATTCATTTCGTTTCACGCTACTGTATTTGACTTTTGACAATTACGTAGACGTCAAAAATTCAGAATTTCAGAACATTGAACAGTGAACACAGACAGAAGTATTATACTCGTTGCGCGATAAATGTGAGCACAGATTTCGTTCCATTTACATTGAATTAGAAACGGGTCAATTAGCCGTCAACACCTATTTAAATTAATTTATAGTTAAATTTGCCAAAACGGTTCTAATCAGATGTAAGACATTTTTAAACGTATCCTTTAACATTAACCTATGCGGCTTCTATAATCATTAATTACTTATTAAATTTTGTTCTTAGTTTTTTCAAGAATGGTGCAGAAAGGTCCTCGTCCTTTGGTGCTGTGCGGACCCTCGGGGTCGGGCAAGAGCACTTTGTTGAAGCGTCTTCTGAAAGAATTCCCGGATAAATTTGGCTTCAGTGTGTCGCATACTACAAGGAATCCACGTCCAGGCGAGAAAGATGGTGTGCACTACCACTTCACTACCAAAGACGAAATGTCCGCGGCTATATCTCGAGGAGAATTCATAGAAAATGCAACTTTCAGTGGCAACATGTATGGAACAAGGTAATTTAATTTGTTTTGTGAAGAATCTGAGTTGGCCATGTGCTTGTTGTTTTGGGCGCATTGGCATATTGCCAAAAACGAGGTTGTCTTATTCATAAAGTCATTGTTTTGTTTCATGAATTTTTCTGATATTCCACATTAATATCTAAATTGATATCACATTTTTCACTGCAATTTAACTTGTATGAACGACTTGTATCAGCCAGAAGACCCTGATCTTTGTTTACCCTCATTACATGTGCTTGACCTACTAACCAAAGCTATTTTGAAACTTTCAGTAAACAAGCGGTCAATGATGTGCAATGTAGTGGAAGAATCTGTGTGCTTGATATTGAAATAGAAGGTGTTAAACAAGTGAAGAAAACTGATCTCAACCCACTACTCGTCTTTGTGATGCCACCTTCCATTGAGGAGTTAGAGAGGCGACTCCGTGCACGTAACACTGAGGAGGAAGAAGCTTTGAAAAAGAGGTTGGATACGGCACGCAAAGAAATCTTATTTGGTAAGTTAAATATGCATAACTAAATACTATTCACTGAAGTAAGTGTACCATTTTAAGCCTCTATAAATCTATACTAATCATTAAGTCATAATACTTGTTCAATGCAGTAGTTCAGTATGGTAAAAAAAAATACATTATTCTTATGTTTTATAGTCTTGATAAAAGATCAATAAAGTGCACAACTCTAATTGAATTTACTTGTTACTGGTACAACTTTTTGTTTACATATGGAGTATTTATGTAATAATGCAATATATTTTTAAAGTTTAAAGTTACTCTAATTTCTCACTCACCAATAAACAATTTTATCATTAATGACATATTGTTTTCTAAGAAATAAATTTAATAACAGTTTCTTACGCAACTTGTGTTATTATCAATCAAGTACTATGTTTACAATGAGTGTTAAAAATATAACACATCTGATGCAATGATTACAGGTCAGGAGCCAGGAAATTTCCACATCATAATTCTGAATGATAATCTGGACAAGGCATATTCAGAACTGCGTGATTTCATATCACAAAACATGGAAGAAAAGGAGCGAGGTATGTTGATTTTGTATTATAGTACCTATTTAAAGAATGTGCATTTTGTCCCCTTTTAGTTGTAGTTGGATTTCAATAGTCATTTATTTAAAATTAATTGTCTCATGATAGTTATTTTACATTAATTGTATAGATGCGCCAAATGTGCGTTCGACCGAATACGGCCGAATATTTAGTCCAAAATTTATCAAAGCGAATATTCGGTCCAATCAATCAGATCTATTTACATATACATACAGGATGTCCCTGTCGCAGTCCATGTCCAACTAACACCAATTGATCGGTGATCTGATGATGACTATATGCCAGTTGTCGACTACGCCAGAAAAATATGTTTTTAAGTTTTTCACTTTGTCAAAGTAGACTGAATGATGTTCTATTCATAACAATGTATTTTTATACATAGCATTTCTTTTATTTACAAAAATATGTACGACTATGATTAATTTTCAGTACTTTAAATGATTAATGAATAATTCTGCAAATCAGCCGAATATTTGGCCGAGTATGAACATCAAAAAGTATACCAAAGGTACTGAATACGATGTTCGGCCGAACATTCGGGGTATCTCTAATAAATAGTTACATGCCTGTTTATGTATTGTATATCATATGGAGAGACATTATAAATGAAGAAAAAACGCGATGGATAGACATATCCATGTGAATAAATAGTTCTTATTAAATAAAGTATTTGGAAAAAGTAGCAACAAGAACAGACTGAAACATGATAGTTTCATGGCAGTACATTAAGTTGGCTTAACAAAATTTACTTTATAATTATAAAAAATATACTGTACTGTAGTTAAGTCTGCTAGTTAAAATTGATATCATATTTTTCAGTATGGTGAAGTTATCAGAAGAGGTAATCAGAAATATTAATTAACTAACAAAGCAAATAAAGTGCTTTATCAATTAACCTCTTCATGAAATAACCAGATAACATATTAGAGATAGGGATACTATCATATTGTTATGAAAATACTTAACTTGTAATAGATAGATAGGTGTAGGACATTTTTTCATATAATAAAGTAATAACAATCACAGCTGTGAAATACTTAATTCATGAACTTAAACATTGCAAACTTATACTGTAAACACCTATGAGTGCGAAGCTTTTGATAATTTTTGTTTGAAAACCATTGCCATGTTAATACTATACTACAAAAGTTATTATGTCTTGTACTAATAAGCTATATTATATTTTTAACCAAGTTTTCAAGTGAAAAAGTGAACAGCAGATAAGTTCTCTATATTTTAACATACATAGACTATAACATGTGTTGGTGTGTTCTTTTTTTTGAAGTGTGTTTATAACCCGACTAACATTATTCCTCACAGATGCGGAAGCAGAATCTGAGGCAGACAAGTGAACAATCTGCATGAAGCATGATATTACCTATCAATGCAAACAAATGAGCATACAATGATATCCTCATTTTATAATAATGTTAAATTGGTGTTAGTTGTGTGTTTAACACTAATATTTGGCCCCAATATACATATTGAAAACAAATCTATGAAAAACTACCTCCTATTAAATGTTTAAGTACCCAGTATTGTATTGCCATATAATGGTCAAGTTTGTTCAAAACTATAAGGTGTCTGGAAGTCACATGTTTAGAGTGGTTGTTGTTCAAATTTATTAGATGTTATAAATGTTAGATGGCAATCACTTAATGGCATATATTTTTACAGATTTTCAAACAAAGCTGTGTCTTGATGTGTCTAAGACTCATTTTGATTAATGAGTATAATAATGCATATTATATTTTGATCATAAATAATAAGAAGCTACCAAAAGCTTTATTTAGTAGAATTTTTAAAGAATCTTAATGTCTATAATGTAAGGTATTGTGTATTATTACTATGTGGAATTGCTTTTACAACCTCCCTAATTTTTGCCAGCAGGTTAGGTTGGATACAGTACCTACCTAAAGCCTCCTAGTGAGTCTAGTCTAAGCTTACCAATTAGTTCCATAAGTGTGTAGTTCAAATTATAATGTTATTTATGTTAGTAAAACAATTCCATTCTCAAAATACCTATTAAGCATTTAAATATATAATTTTTGTGAGTATTTGTAGCATCTTTGACAAAATGGGGACTCCTAACATTCCATAATAATCTATTAAATATGTAGTCTTGCTGTAGTCTATTATTTTAAAAGACCCGCCCATTTTTTGTGCCAAATTTTATACAATTTGAGCTGTTTTCTTTAAAAATCTATATTAAAACTAGTGTGCAATTGTCTATAGATAAAAAGTACTTAGAAATTGTTAGTAAAAAAAGTTAATATTAAATGTATTGTAATTTCATGTAGTGCAGTGCCGTAAAAGGGCAATTATTCTCAGATTTATTTTAAGTTTTAGCATATTTAAACCCATTTACTCTACGACTTAAAAAAATACTTAACCTCAAAATAAATTGCTATAAAATAATTACGATAGTTTGAGCTTTACTTAACTAAGGCGGATTTCTGTGACTCACTGTAACTGTGGAATTTTTCATGCAAAATGTACAATAATTCTATTTTTATATGTTTGCTTATAGCTGTTCTTCGAGGATTCTGAAGAAAAACGTCGCTGAGAGGTTCTTCTATATTTAAAGATATATATTTTTAGTACTATCGCTAATAAATACTCGTTTATTAGAATATAATATCACCTCGAAATGATGATATACACTTTCTAAGAGCCAGCTTTTTAAAATATTTATTATTTTTTGAATGTAGACTTTTCGAGGAATGCATTCTTATTGTTATATTTTTGGGGCTTTTTTGTGTAACTACCAAACCATCTCCATATTTTTTGGTGTTCAATTTTAACCATTCCAAGATACTAGCGTTGCTGTACTGCTATATATGAAATTATTGTGATTTGCATAATTTTGTTATTTATATACCTAACTACTATTTATTCCAAACGATGTGTTGCGTTTGCAATATTCTCATTTAACGCAAATTGTATGTGTTAAGTGTTGTGAGAATAGCAATTAAAACTATTTAAAATCATAAATGCATTTTTATTTTGTTACTACCTATCGGATATTCTACCTGTTGCTGGAGTGCGCTGCGTAGATACAGCAAAAGATCGAGAAAGATGGTACTCTCTAGCCTTCACCTTACGAAGTTCCTATAACTTTTTTAAGAAAATTATTTTTTTTAATTTGGATAATAGTTACCTACTTATTTCATTTACTATCGGACTTGATTGATGAAACCAACTTGAAATACGCGGAGTATTATTTTACCTACCCCAGTGAGACGGTGTATGCAGTGTTTATTAAATATAGTTTTTATGACCAGTGTGAGAGCACACAATCGAGGGATCAAACACAAAGTTGTCACACGAAAAGACCATGACTGAACTTCAAGGAGTCAATAGTCTATATTGTATATTCATTGTTTGTGAACTTTGGCGCCGCACCTTACTGTGGTGATTATTTTGGATATTAGGAAATGACTGTTGATTATAGTTTTAAAATAGTTGCTATGTTTAATGGCCTAAATATATTTATTTCAAGTCTCAATATTCTATTATCATCACACTTAAATCTAAGAAAAGATAACATTACAAGATATGTTTCTTTTATTGAAGATCAATAAGAGTTTATTACTTATTGTAGACAATAATGTCAAATTTTTCAAACAATATTAGCCAATCATGATGTTATATCAAGAAAATTATTCATTTAGAGCAATGTAATAGTTCAAAAGTCACGTCACAATAAACAATAGTAAATATAAAACAGTTTCAATGTTGAAGAATATTCTACAGCATACTTGCTGTTGTTGCCACAAACCAAGTTCAGAGAACAATGCTGTTGTCCTTGTCCCAGCGATCACGGTGAGAATGAGGCGGGGTGTTCTCACAATCTCCACCAATTGCGGTGGCCTTAGATATATTTTTCAAAGAAACACTACTTCCTGCAGGTCCCAAGTTGGATTGCTTTGACAAACACTTCAGTCGTGGAATATGAGACACTCTCTTAGGAATTTTTGACAACACATTCTTCTGGTTCTTGGGATCATACAAAGTATTTGCTGATTTAGATCTAGTGTGTCCAACATCAGCCTTGTTCTTCATGCAGGACAGTGGAGTACGGGACCCACTATTACTGGCCGACTTGGATTTCTTTGGTGTATCACTGAGTTTAGGTGCATCATCTTCATAGATAAGCAGCCCTTCATTCTTGTCAGATTTGATACCTGTTTGACGCAGTTCAGTATTTGTATTTTGCAAGACTTTGATCAAAGTATCATCAGACATGGTCTCAACATTTGAGTCTTCTTCAATTTTAGCAACAACTATAGGAGTCCTCTCAATACCTATTGATGGAGACCTGGGATCATTATCAAGGATTTGGAATACTGGAACATCAGCCTCATCTTCTTCGTTGCTATCTATATTTTCTTCACTATCTTCAAATTTATTGTTATTTTCTACATAATCAAAATTAGTTTCCAAAAATGTTGGTTTTTGTTGACTTTCACTTGATATATTGCTCTCTATGGCTTCATTGGAAGCTGTGGAAGAGCAAAGAGGTTCTTCGGCATCTTTAATAGTGTCATCTAATGTAAAGTTATTAAATCCATCACATAAGTTTCGAGTGACCATTAATTCTGGACTCTTTTCACTAGCTTCAGCACAGCTGTCGCAACTGTCATCATTTTCAGCCCGTAGTACGGGACTAGCACAGTTATCACTTTGCAATCTTAGCAATTTCTTGTCATCAGGAACATCATCTGACTTTGAAATTATGATAGGCGTGCGTTCAAAATCCTGGGTTGGTGATCGCGGGTCATAGGATTGCAGGTGATTCTTTATTACAGCTGAGAGAATGGGATTATTGTGTATCAACTTTTCTTCGCCATTAGCATTCTCAAAAGTCTTCCTCAGATCAACGTTTTTAGTAATGTTATGTTTACCGGTAGTTTTGTTCTGAAATTCAAAAGAAAAAGTTAGCTAATTATAAGTAGGTATCAGATGTTTGACCACAACAAAAAAAAAATGGAGGGAACTCCATGTGTTATTTTTAGATTTTCGAATAATTCCAAACAAAGAAGCTAAAATACTTACGTGGAGAGGAGTTCGTGTGATTTCTGGTGTCGGAGATCGGGGATCAGAACTATCACCAGTATTCAACTCCTTCTTTGCCGAAGCAACAGTTGGTGCTTCATTGCTGGGTTTACTGGTATTGATACCCATTGTTTTAGTAAATATAGTACTGTAATATATTTAGTGAAGTCCGCTACAATTTTACTAAACCAAAGTCAACATTTTAATCTCGCAAAGACGTTTCGACAAATTACTTCTTTTTTTCTTTGAACAATCCGGTTGACGAACTCAAAACATCTAACGGCCGCAAATGTCACACGGATTCTATTTTTAAAAATATTTCATTCAGAAACCACAAGAGTGGGATCAATCAATCATTTCGGATATATTTGAAATTATGTCAATAATGATGTGTGATTTAATTATTATTTAGTAAAGAATAAAATGTGTTAAGTAATTATATGTAATATTCTTCCTACAATCTATTAAAATCCTTAAAGTAGCTTTATAATTTTTAAACTAAATATTCTGATTCTGAACGAAGAAGTAGTTATTAGTTTGCCATGTAAAAAAAAATCCTAATGGTAATTTTCTTAGAGTATATTTTAACCAAGTAATTTTAGTTTAAAATATTAAATCAAACATTTCAAAAAAGAGCTATTATGAGCTATTACCGAAATTATAACACTTTTCTTAAATTTTTTATTCTAAGAATTTTTATATACCTAGTTCAATGTTTAGTCACAGTATAACTAAATTCCCATATTATGTAATTATGATGTTACACACCTTGGTTACACTGCTTAACTTCAATTTAAAAGGTAAATACTATGTAAATAATATCTACGAACTTTTTCACAAAATTATTACTTATTTTATTTATAAGTTATAACTAAGTACTTTTACAATCAAGTGTTTCAAAACGCCTTCGAAAGTGCGGAACGTGAACGTATTTTGACGGCGCCACTGTAGGCTTTAGTTCAGTTTCCGCGTCCCTTTGGATTTTGCTACCTACTAATGCTTACATTTTGTTTTAACTTCTGTCTGCCTGCTGGACCCTGTTAATTGGCCATCATCAATAATTATCACACTGAGTAAGTAGGTACCTAGGTACTAAACTAAGTAGAATAGATTTTTTAAAGTTATGGAATTTTATGTTAAACCTAAAACAAGTCGCGGAGAACCTAACGGGTAACCGGGGCTCCGGCTCGACGTGCAGGAGAAGGAACGGGGTGGTTTTTAGTCAGTAAGAGTCTGACACTGCCTCCCGCCTCACCCAGGCGGGAGCAGTCATTCGATGATTTTCCCCCATTAAATAAAAAAGCCTAAAACAAGGAACTACAGGGAGGGTTCACTAGTGGATACATGAATAAAATATTAATAGTATTTGAAAACATTTATTGTATTATATAGGTACATAATGTACTTTTAGTGAGTATCAAATAAAAAAAAATCTACAAGAACATGTTCATATATGTAATAAAATAGGCATATAAAATTAATTATTTTCTATAACATGATTCTTAGTTCCTTAGCCATTAATTAATTACGTACTTACGTAATTAGGTAGGTACACATGTTCTTAATTTTATCGATAGAATAGGTAGGTAGGTACAATACAAACACTTCACATTGTTAATAAATAGGTATGGCACGCCCAATCTTCAAAGACATTAATTACTTACATACTAGATTTTATACCTAAGTACTTAGTCTAATCATAAAGCTAAATAATTAAAATGGTATTATTTCTATTTCGTGTAAATGGGCGAGCATCCTAATTTATAAGTCCAAGAACCACGTCGGCACACTGCCATAGATCGGGAGGTCCATTTCCAACCACGAGCACATCGGACTCGGCAAATGGCGCCATCATTTAGCCCCCAACCATTCGGTGACGTCATACCTTTGCAACTGACTCGGCCATGTTCGGGGGGCGGCGGTGGTTGACACCACGTGCGAGCTACAATGCAGAAACATAATATTTGTAAACATTGAAATATGACTTAGGTACATACATATATTACCTAGACTTAAGTCGCATTCCTTTCCGCGAAGGAGCGTTATTACATCAGAATTTTCCGCAGGGCCATTATGTTATGAAATCTATCGTTTATTAGCGGAAAAATGGGCACATAGTCAAGAATAGCAGGGATATGTTAGTTACGACTACCTCTTCGATTGTCGTTTTGTGAAATAAATTCGGTTCATTTGAACGGTTTAGTAGATAGAAAGCTTAAGCGTACACGAATAAAGTGGTACAACATCAGATATTACATTGTTTTTTGGCAAGTCGAACAGTAATCTGAAGGTACCTACACCTACCTTCCTGCCTGTACCTGCCTAATGCAGGTTACAAATAAATAAAATTTATCAGAGGTGACTACTAAACTAACCGTTTGACTACTTCCTCGATAATATTTTGGCTCATTTTACTATTGAGATTTGCATCTAAACAGTTGCATTCATAATACCCACTTAATTGTTGCAATATGCAAAGTGCACGTGGTGTGAATCATGGTGATAAAAGAACATCTAAATGTCCCACGGCCTTGTTGTCGTGACTCGGCGGTAATGTTCATAGCAAAGATATCTCTTTGTTTTTCTGATGCGTCTGTACAATTTAATTAATTAATTTAACAAAGTGTGCAAAATGATTAATGACTTACGGTTACAGACAGGCAAATGTCCAGACCACCTCATGTCGTCACCACATGTTAGTGTCCTTTGTCCTCGTAATTCGGCTTTAGGATCGCGACATGTAAAGTTGCACACTTTATTTTCAGCTCCACAATGAGACACTAAATACTTGGGTACAGAACAAGATTGTACCAGAACATGTATTTGCATTTTACATGTTTGGAGAATCTGGAACATACAAAATTATGTTTGTTGAAAGATTTGAAAATTTATTGTAACGATTTCCATATACAAAAATAAACTGACTTCATCTTTATGCGTGATTCGTCCGACGATCATATGTGAGCCCTCTTTCAGTAAAGATCCGAATTTAGGTCCATACATGTGGACGAAACGAACATGTCTAGGGACCTTTCTTCCCGAACATGACAACAGCCTCGGGTATTGTAACACTGCGCGGTCCACACCAGGTTTGGTAATTAAGGTTCTGTCAGGAGGACATCGCACGCAGGTATCTGAAAGTATTTACAATTATTTTTTATAAACTACAGACCTTGAAATAAAAAGTAATTTGGTGTACGAAACGTGTTAACAACAATAACCTTCATAGATGCTGTTTAGCTCATTATCTCGCATACGAATTGGCAACGATCTTCTATGATTGACTTCGTCGGCTCGTACTACTCCGCGTCCTATGTAGATCGAAGATACTTCATTGCTCAAGTTCTTCCTATTAGTTTCTTTAATATATGCATCAGACTGATAGAAGAGCCGCGGGTCTTCTTTTGGTTGGTACACTTTACCCGCCTTCTCTTCGGTAAGTGGCGAGGTATCGTACCGAAAGTGCACCGACGGCCGTAACTTGGAGAACCGGCTGCTATAATAGTCATAATCATTTCTTCTGTTGTGATCTGTTAATATGGAACGACGACTGTGATAATTTGTTGGTCGATTGTGAAACCCCTCGTTCGGTAAAAGTTTTATTCTGAAAATAGGAGGAGATATTTAATTTCAAACGATGCATGCTGAATGCGAATTATCGCTGGCATGCGAGGTATGAGTTTGCTAATGCGAAGTGTAAATAAAAAGTACATACATTACTACACGAAGGTTTCAAAATTTTAAATATTTACATGAAGGAAACAGAAGTATTCTCAACAAGAAAACTGGGGCTTACCTATAATCAGTCTAGGCTAGGTAGTTATTCTTAAGAATAGAATTGACGTAAGGTTATTGCTATTTCAGGGATTCTAGATTCTGTGGATTAAATATTTGGATAGGCACTTATCGATGGTTTAATGTTGGTAATAAATAACTCACTGTTGTTATTTCCTAGTTCAATTTCGAAGGGGAATCGTATATTTTCACAACAAAAAATATTCAATACAGTTCGATGTGTCTAAATGCTTTTAAGAGTGTACGACAGGCAGGAGAAAAAAACGCATGACTTTTAAACTCGATACAAGTCGGTTAACTCATGAATGGATTGTTTTTAAATATTAAATCTCATAGTTTGAGCAAAGTGCCAAAATGTTTGCGTCAATTCACTAACCTGTTGATGTCTATGTCCGGCTGACGGGCTCTCAGTGTTCCTAGAAAAAAAGTACATAAAATATTACGACGATTTTATTTACAAACATCTAAATCCAATAAAACCCAGACTTCCTTATTATATACGGACGGAAAAATAAACGGTTTTTGGGAAAATATAAAAATGTGTTCTAGATTATTTTGGTTCCATTAAATATACAGTAGGTTTATAATATGTTGTGTCTAGTTTTTGGGATTAAATGTAGATAGCGATATTAGTTTATATATGAAAGAGAATGGCCGCGACCCGTAGGGTTGGCTTGATATAATTCGTCTGGGTGGTAGGGAATAAGAGTGGTGTAGGGTTGGGTCATTAATGGATGGCATAATAACAATACTACGCAATTTGTTTAGACCGATATGTTTTATTTGAGTACATCTATATTATAGATGTACTAACATGGAATCTATATGCTTTGGTTCATTATGACAAACCATAACACCTATTAATCCCCGAACAGATATGCAGAAGTGCAAATTACAATGTTATAACTTATAACCGTTTTTCACCAATAATGTAATTATGACTCAATTTTTAAGCGATGAGCCTCTACCATACACCGGGCACAGTTCCAGACTCTGTGATATTACCGAGAATTTTTTTAAAACTGAGAAATCCCAATAACACCTCACCCGATTCGGGAAACAAACACCACTCGACTATACTAATACTGGCAGCAAATATTTTTTATAAATATTATAAAAGATTTACACAGTATCCATTATAATACAATAATAATACTATGTAAGACATTTCATCGACAACAAGATGAGATGTGAAGTATCTGGCACTAGTCCCACATTCCAATGCATTTGCAGGTACATATTTGATTTTTGTTTGATATTATGTGTGTAAACACGACTCTGGAATGACGTAGGTTTTCGCTGGAGCTAGGAATAAATCACTTCATCATTACGTTGGGACGGCGAAAGGAGACTTTTTGATTTGATACAAATCGCTAGTCTTCTAAATTACCGTCTACTGAAACATGTACAAATTTCAACCGCATAGAAAACATTCTGAAGCAGTTGTTCTTCATAAGTTCCTACTGTTTGCCAGATATGTTTTTTTTTTTTTTTTTTTTTTTTAAGGGGGGAAAATCATCGAATGACTGCCCCCGCCTGGGTGAGGCGGGAGGGAGTGTCAGACTCTTACTGACTAAAAACCACCCCGTTCCTTCTCCTGCACGTCGAGCCGGAGCCCCGGTTACCCGTTAGGTTCTCCGCGACTCCGAATCGGCATCGGCCCTATTGGGCCCCATCTGTGGTGGTCTGATGGCTCTTTGAGGCGCGCGCGGAACGCGACGCGCCGTACGCTCGGGTCTGTTTCTGGTCGGACGGGGAGCCACCCATGCTCGCCGTCCGCAGGCCCGCGCTTACGGTGGCCGGAGATCGTCCCGCGATCCCCGACGCCCGGTGTGTCCTTCGCGATGGCTGGGTTGCGAGGAGGCAGCGCTTCGCTGCCTCACGCGTCCCGCCTCCTCCTTAGCTAGCATGACTGCTTCGCAAAAGGAGGAGACGGCATCCCAATCCCCCTCGCTCCGCATCATGGCCTGCACTAGGCCCGGACGCGAGAGGTCGCCATCGCCGATCACTTCCCTGAGGACACGGCGGTGCTCAGCCCACGAAGGGCATTCTCCCACCGTGTGTTCCACCGTGTCCTCAGGGCGGTCCTCGCAGTGATGACACCCGGGCGTTTCCTCCCGCCCCATCAGACACAGGTACCTCCCGAAACTTCCATGTCCGGTGAGGACCTGCGTCAGGCGGTAGGTGAGGACGCCGTAGCGTCTCTCAAGCCACTCCTCAAAGAGGGGACTTACCGCTGCGATGGCAGCGAGCCCAGCCCTCGGTTGCGACAGTCGTTGCTGCCATTCCGCCATGAGATCGCGCCGGAGCTCATCCCGCCACGCACCTATCTGGCGCGGCAGCGGGGTTTCGCCCCGGCGACGTGCCTCCGCGCGCATGTTGTACACGCGCGCGAGCACCTTCGCCTCCAGATCCCACGGCGGTAATCCGGCAGCCAGATATGTTTAAAGTCCCATTGTAGAAGGAGGTGAGGTTGTCCAATCATGAATCATGAGAGAAGGTTACCCATAAATTCTCTATTTATGGGTAACCTTCTCTCTGCTCTCTATGTCTATGTTTAGTTAAGAACGTCCTATCATCTTGGCTGATGATGATCATGACGTAGATACGTAAACCCTGCTGAATCCAGTAAGATTGACTCCGTGGATCATTCGAAACAATAGGAACCTACTTTTTTATAGGTATTAAAATAGTTATTGTTGAGTTAAGTAAATTAATTGTCTTTTCCGGAAAGTCTGTATTCAACTTAACATCTTTGTTCTTCACATTATCCAATAAATTACGCATCGCAGCTGACGTCATAAGGATTTATCAAATCGTAAAGCAATATTTGAGACACTGTAATACATGCTTTGTAAGTGGGAGCAATAAATTATATATTAATAGACCACCCATAGTCTGCGTTGAAACTATTGACAGTAGAATAGTGAAGCCGCTATCTATAAATGCAACTTCCAATAGTTTATCAAACTATTGAAGATGTACCGAACAATCCTTTTAAGGTTTGGTTCAGAGTCTACGTATAAGTATATAGATTCAAGGAACTGCTTATACGGCTGCTAAGTCTAGGAGAGTGGAATTATAAGGGCGTTAAATTTTGAAGTTGGTGGAGCGGACTGTAGTCTCAATTTAATCAGCCATGCTTGCTTGGAGTCATAACTGAAGCAAATAACGCCTTCACCAGAAGGTGACTCACTCATAGTCATGGTAGGGTAGACAGAGGTAGTGGGGGCGAGTTTATTGTTATCACTGGGTACAATTCTAGTCGTCGTGGTAATGGGAGTTGTTGTAAATTTGAACTATCATTTGACCCGACACAGGCGAAGAATTTCATCCGGGATCCCCAGCAGACCACTGCACAAGATAGACACTCAGAGGGCCGGTATTTGTAGGTTTAAATTTACTAAAGTATTTTTTTTTACTCTTACCATTTGTCATAGGCGCCTAATAAAAGGCTCGGTTTTTCTTGTTATTTCCTAGTATTTGCGGTAATTAATGCCTAAGTATCTACATACTTTAGTTTACTTGTAGATAATTGTAGTTCCAACGTAACAGGTAAAGTAGCTGACTACATAACACAGACATAAAGACACTGGACCACTCTAGTCCATAAGCATTATCTCATTCTTAATAACACATTAATGTGAACATTACCATTAAGAAACTTCTATAAATGCAAATTGATAAGCAACAGTCAAGTATTAGGAAGCATTTGATAAACGTATTAAAATTATAAATGTCATATTCCTACGCAATTGCATTCAAATCGTTTGCAAAATGACTCTTATGTACTTACTTAAGTATAATTCAGTATTAACTCGTCATATGAATGCGTTTTATGTTTCTATCTCCTTTGAATGATGTCATGTATAAAATAATGGTTGATGATCTAAAAGTATGATTCTGTTTGTTTTCTACCTTGTATTTAATTGATCGTAGATATTCTAGGCACTTTGTCTCAATGACTGTTGATCATAGTATTATTATAAAATGCGGCTGATATGATGGGAGCATTTTCAGAACTTAAAGCACAAATGAACGATTCATTCGGTGCATCACTTTTGTCCAATCCGAACCATATTCGAGTTATGGTGTTTTCGGCAATCTGTTGTGCATTTTTATGATTTTTAATAGAACCAAAGTGACGGGGTGACCGTTCGGTTGTCTTGTCTAATTTGTGTTTTAAGAACTGGCGTTAGGTTATAAATTAATTTACGATTCATTATGTCAATTAAAAATCAACCCAAAATTGTTATTATGTTAAGTCCAACTGTGTAAAACATTATAGCTACAAAAAGTTCAAGTACTTCGATACCGTCACGTCTAGAAGAGTTTTTGCAATTGCTTCAATCAAAATTACATCTTATTAAAACGAATCGTACCGTTCGTTTTCCTTCGGAATTTTGATTTATTTTGTAGAAGTATGAGGAGGTTAGTTAGTGGCTCTTGAGATGATACAATATGTCAATTTAGAAACCGACCAGTCATTGGATTAGTCAACCTTTTTTGTGTAGTATTTTAATTTAGATCTGTTTGTTATTCATATTATATCATTGCCTTGTATGAGTATCATAGGTGGAATTGATTAAATTAATTATTATAAGTACTTATTATAACAGTTAACAAATAATGCATGAAACGATTTAGAGAAGATACGTCGTGTCAGCCACAAGAAGTCCACTGCTGAAAATAGGCCTCCCTTAGTGACTTCCCGATCAACCGGTACAACACGATCCGATTGCCGGGTATCCGGCGCCGGGTACCCAGGGTGGCGTAGTGTATGGCCATGTACCTACTGTAGCTTTCACAGGTACCGGCGTAATTTGTTTGCACTAGACCGTGTGAAAAGGCACTTACAGTCTGTCTATTTATGCATGAAGAAAATGCATTAAGTTCTAAAATATAATCTATCTGACAAGGACTTTTTGAGGAGGTTGATAAACTGAATATTTTGTTTTTTACCAGCGGTATACACCTACCTACTTCTGATAGAGCTCGAGACATTGCCTTTCTGATTTTCAATATTTGCTTAATTAAGCACATCTAGGTACATAATAATGTAGAATACCATGTAGTCACTTCAAATAAATATGTCGATCTTCGTCAGTATCTAATTTCTAAAATCACATTTTAATTAATTCGTTCTTGAAACATATTTCTCTGACGAGGGCACATCAAAAATTATTTATCAATGACGTTATGCACACACTGTCGACCCAAATTGCTATCCTCAGTAGTGATAATTTATTACGCGACGCAAATGAATTTATAGTATTTCACCCTGAACTTGACCAGTGGTAGCAGCCATTATGTGACGGCGACTTCTCATTTTAAAACGTTATCTAGATATTTTAGGTCAGGGAGACGATTTGTTAGGTAAGATTTATGTCTAGACAAGAATTCAGCTCTCATCGCAGTTATGAAAAGAAAGGGCAGTCAACTGTTTTGTTTTTGAAAAATATGTATTTTTGCGCGTTTGGCTATTTCTTTGATTAATGGTACATTCTTTGACAGTTTGCAGCTTTAATGCAATGATGTATTTATGATCATGATTATTAACTGCGTAAAAGCAGAGACATATTTTGTTCCTACTGTGACTATAATGTAGATACCTAATTTTATATTCTGAGACAAACATGTTTTTATCATTTAAGAAATTTCCACACATTTAGCATGTTTGTTTTCCTTTTAATTGAGGACAAAATATTTACTCACGCTTTGTGATGAATGATCGATTGATCTATAAATAGCAATCAAAGGAATAGCAGTCTGTGCTTCCTGGTTATAACGAGTGATAAAATAAATAATGAATCATCCGATTAATTGAAAATATTTATAGATATTCGATAATTATTAGAAAAGCAGGGAGATACTAACTATTCAAATTCAATTCTGAAATATATACCTATTTCAAAATTATATGCATGAAAATTAAATAAAATAATACAGAAAAAAAAAACTTACCAATCAAACTAAAAATTAGAAAGATAAACACAATTGACATCTTGAGGCAAACATTCGTGATTCAATTACAGAAAATTAACGAAGTTTAAAATAAAATTAAATGTATCACACAAAAAATGATGCACTCAAATTCGCACGTACAACGCAACGGTAGTGTTGTAGCCAAAACGCACAAAGGCAAGTGAACGCGAAAAGCGCGCGAAAACCACTAGTGTTGGAAGCTCACCGTGTGCGAGGGCGTGGGTGGAGAGCTCACACATGCCAGAATACTATTAGAACTTTATAAACAGGTTATTGAAGTTCACAAATCACGTTCTGCATACTCGTAAATTGATATCAATGTCACTGTTACTTTTGTTACGCGAAACTACCGAAATTACATTAGCATCTACGTTTGTTAGCACAGGAACCGTAAGGTCATAATTACATTGATCTAACTATTAACACATTCATTAGATCATACTTAAAAGTATTTTTGCGAAATATGTGGATACAATAAAGTCTGAAGTTTTAAAATCAAATGAATCTGGGCCAAACGTTTTAAAAATAAAATGCAGGTTTTTTATAATATTTCTTTTATTGGACAATACAGTTTACGATTCACAAATAATGATGACGCCACGTTTGCACTACCACGAACTCACGAAAACAAGTATAATAATTGTGCCTTGTTCTCAAAGCTTCGCGACAGCTTTGAGTCAAAGGGACAAAATTATCTTCTCTGAAAACCACACGGGACTACAAATTCTTCTCTTAGGTTTTAAAACTACGACGTCAATTTCGCAGCGTTTTCAAGATTTGTGACTATTTGAAATATGTTATCTTGAGAATCAGTTTCCCATCTTTGTTTTAAAACCCTTCAAAGCTAATTCTGTACATTGTACCAGATCAGACGTGTTTATTGCAAGTGTGGTAGCAGCAGGGATGGTACGGTGGGTTGGGGCAAGTGAATGCTTGGCAGGGTGGCACACATGGGCAGCACTCGCCAGGGTACCAGACAGTGCGCGCGTACCGTCCGCTTGGCCTCGTGCATGCGCCGTGGTTGAAGCAGTGCGCTTTGCAGGGGAAGTCGTAGCAACACGGTCTGAAGGAAGAATAATTATATTGACAATAAATGTTAGGGATTTGTATAGTCTATAAAACTCGATCAGAAGAGCAATAATGCTATTTCATAAAACTTTCATTTAATAATTTAATCAGATTTGATGCTGAAACATTCAGAAGTATCTGTCTATCTCTAAATAAACAACTAACCTATTTAACAAATCTTAAACGGACCATTACCACAGAATAAATAGTACAAGTACCATTACATTAACACCGTGGTACCGCACTAACTTTGTTTCGGTCGGTTTCAAGATTCTACATGCTCATTAATCTTTGACAGTTTATTATATTTCAATGGGTTTTCTAGATCACCTGATTTTTTTTATGAATTTATTTATGGCGCTACTATTTATAAACCCTTTTAGTTAGATAGAGTAGTACTTTAGTTGTACTGGACGTTTACCTTTCCATTGGAGCATTACTTGGGCAGCCCCAATAGTAGCCTGGGCACTCTCTTTGAAAAGGCTGTGGCCTTGGTTGTCCACAACGTGGCCTTTTGTAGTAAATGCTGTACTCTCCTCGAACACAGCCGTATCTGGGTGGTGCACGGCAGCATTCGAACCCTCGGGGCAACACTGACATTCTTGTAAATCGTAACCCTGCTCGTTTGGCTTTGCAATTAGCAAAGTTTTCTTGGATTATCTGCAAATAGCAATAAGGTTCTTAATTTATTCGGATTAGATGTTATGAAACTAGGAGCGATCTAAACAAGGTCTCCGAGTCTTTTGGAACTTCAAAGTAATTTTGAACTGTTAATTTGCCAACCTCAGAACATTTACGTATTTTGCAAAAAAAAACCTCATCTAATATCCACATTCATGGCTCAAACGTAACATATTTAAATTAGATATTCCTTTATACCCGAGTAAGAAAAGTAACCAAAATATCCAATTTTTAATGCGTTGAGGTAAAAATGCGGTCAGTAGTTTCAGCCTACTTTGATATCTAGATTGAGTAGGTAGGCGATGACTAAGATCTGAATGTTTCACCAGATTCGTTGCAGCGGTACCTACTTAGAATACATCAGTATCAAACATTATGTATGTACATAATATGTATGTATGTCAGATAAGTATGATGGCGCCATTCATGTGATGTATCAGGATAGGGAAACTCGTGACTCATTCGAAACTTTGTCCAGATATGAATTTTAGTTCCCATAAATTCATCTTCAATTTATTGAAGCAAATAAAGAAATGTAATACTCACTGATGCTTTTTATGGGTTATTGTTATGAGATTTTCCAATTTTTAGTACTTTTACAAATTTTTGTAATTTTTTGTAATTTAGACGTTTTTCATAGAAACGGTGACAATAATGTCAAATATTATTTTTTTATTTTGTTTGAATGCAGAAAGTTGTTCATTTTGTTTTTATACTCTATGGTGTATTGTGCCAGTTGTATATTGATGAGGTACCTAAAGAGTTCTGTTGGTATCGAAATAATCTTTATTCTTCCTTGGTGAAAGGACTTTACTCTCATTTAAGTTACATACATACCGTAATGCACAAACATATTTCGACATGATCGTATATTATTATGCAATGGCAAAAAAAAACATTACCAAAGCTGCGTTTCAGTTTAGCATTAGAGTCTTATGTCAGGATTTTGGTAAGACAAACTATATATTGTCGATAAAATGTGTTAATGTCTATTACCCATCTAGTTTATTTCACAACCAATAAAACAAGAAATAAAACAATAATTAGGTACAAACATGTTGTATTCTTACACGACAAGGTTCACACACGGTTTTTTAGCTCCATTACCAAACGGGCATGCATGGTCCACAGCATCCACAGCCGCAGACGGGTACTCCTGGGTAGCTGCATCTTTTGGGACAACATATTCCAGGCTCTGTACAGCAGTAGCAAGGGCATGGCTTACACCTGTTCGGTCGACAGCAAGGAATCGCCACTGTCTCACAAAGAGGCACCGGCTTCGGCACTGGAGTCATTGGCTAGAAATAAAATGTCATTTTTAAAGTCTAGTCTAGAAATAATATTGAAAAGTTTTAAAGTAAACATTTTGACAAAATGCCAAGAAACATATTTGAGAAGCAAAATGGAAATGAATTTTGACTAAAATCAGATTTCAAGGTTATTGGTGTGGCAGATGAGCAAGGAGTGTGACTGAAAATAGATTCATTAATTTCGGAAGTGTAATGAAGTAATGAGGCAATGAACCGAAACAAATGGTGTAAAAATGAGGAGACTTAAACCCGCAATAGGATGGCAATATACAAATAAAAATAAAGTACCTTATCGCACGGAGGGCATGGCGGAAGACAAGGTAGGACTGGACATGGTGGACATGGAGTGGGACATGGCCGAACAGGAGCAGGACACGGAGAACATCCACCACCAGGACACACAGAACACGGCCTCAGATCATTACAAGATGCTACACATGGCTTTGTACTGTAGGGGTAACAAGCGCCGCAAGGCTGCCCTGTGCACACGCATGGATCATAGCTGTAGAATGGTGCACTCATTTCGATTTTACACTTTTTATATCAATTTTAATATTAATATGAAATTAAAACTTAAAATTTCAATCGTCTGTCATGTCAAAACGTGATAAAAATATTTTGTTTCTAGATGTTTTTTCTTTGTGGTGCATGTCTTCATGGCACTGATAATGATAACTATGCTTTATGGTCATACACTAGAATAGTTTGGGAGGAAGAGGTTCAAAAGTTTAGGATTATACTTTTTAACTTTTAAAGTTAATAGATAAACCAAAACATTATACCAAAATCAAATACATACATAATTATAGTTCCAAAACTTATCCGTCCCCTATATCATAAAAATTAAACACCTGTCTGGCTATCTTATTCTGGCTGGTATACCTTGTGTTTTTTGGTTGGTTATTGACTCTTTGACATTAAAAAAAATATTTTGACATTTAAAATTATAGTTTGAAGAAAAGTGCTAAAAATAAACTAAAATCAAAAAATTACAAAAAACGTAAATTTTAAGTTATTAATTTAACAAAATCTTAAAAAAATGTGTGCGTGTAGCTTTTGCCCAACTTGCCCGGCAATTTTGCCATGTGGTACGGGACCATGCAGATACTCATGTCCTCCACCGTGTCCTTGCTGTCAGCCATGCTGTCCACCACCAGTGCCATGTACCCCGTGTCCGCCATGCAAGTGCTGCCCAGTTTTTCGACAGTGTCCAGCGCCTGTAATCCCCGACTGTGTGCCACCTATCGTGCCAATATTACCGCCCTGTAGACCTAGGAGGTGTCCACCACCTGAACCGTGCCCACCTCCTCCGCCTCCACCAGTTTGTTGTCCACCCGTTTTGCCTTGCGCTCCTCCACCGCCACCGTGTGATCCACCTCCGGTAAGTTTATTTGAACTACTGGTTGCTAAAGCTTATTTTAATTTAACAGTGAAGAGATCTAACATGTTTCTGTTTACTCGCAGGTTTGCCCGTGTCCCGAACCAACACCATGCTACCAACCAGTGTTGCCATGCTGTAACCCACAATGTCCTCCACCTATTATACCTAAACAGCGTCCCATTTGTCCTCGAGCTCCACCTTGTCCTTACCCATGTCTTCCAGTGTGTCGAAGCTGTTGTCCGCATTGTGAACTTGACCCGGTGACACGTCGCCGACCTTTAATAGTTCATGACAGTGTGTTCCACACCAGAAAGACTGGATTGCCTGCCGAGTGCTTTACCAGGACTTCTCCAAATATACGATATAAAGTAGAAAACTATGTGAGACAGGTATGACTTATTCTTACGTTATTGTTGTTTTTTTTCACGTATGAGCTAGTCTTTATAACTTATGCTGTGTTTATTCCTTTTCAGGGTCCTTACTCATGTTGTTGGCATCCAGTACCAGTTCCTCTGTGCTAAGAAATGTTTGCTCGTGTTTATATTTACTGTGCTATGTGCTATGTAGCCTGTATGATGTTGAATTGAAATCAAATACTAAAGTGATGTTGGTGATAGTTTCGAAATAAAAATTATTATTTTACGACTTTAGTTTCACATTATTTTGTAATTATCAGAATACTAGATTTTTTTTACTATTTTGAAATACTTTAAAATATAATAAAATTTAATTTATGTGCACTTTTAGAAATCTAGTAGGGCTGAATTTGTTCCATGAATTTTCAAATCTATGCCACTACAATAACCTATTCCTGAGACTCTATCAGTTATTTGTGCCTTAGAAGGTCCAAAATAATGTTAACATTTTCAAAGAAGCGACTTACGTGGTACAGAAGAAATAAAACTTCGTAGGAGTAGCCTAATAGAATTTATTTTGTTCACATCACTATTACCACTATTATAAAACTTCAGGTTTCTTCACTTACAGTTACATAATTTGTGTGTTGCAGCTGTATATGTTTATACAGGGATTTACTGCGTAACATCTTGGAGTTGGACATTTTGTTTCGCACACCATGGGCATGCTGGGCCCGCAGATGTTCGGCGCAGGAGTGGGGCAGCAAGCCGGAGGTGCGCAGCAAAATCCGTTACGCATTTTCTGATTTTTTAGTTAATTTCACTTGAAAATTTAGCTCAAGATGAGTTCGGCAAACCAAATGAAAGCCGCGAATGGTGTGCGCTTATATTTATAACCACTGTAAAGCCAACTGGATTGAGGAGTGATTTATAGATTTTTCAGAAAAATCTAGTTGGTTAGATAACTGATACAATGTCGTACCACAAAATAGTACACAGTGGATAAACAAGGAATTACACTGGCGTGCAGATACTTTTGTCGATTTAAATGGAAAGAACTAATAAAATTGGATCTACGGGTGCAGTGGATACCTTGATGCTGTATTCGTTTATGAATAGTACGACCTTTTAATTTGTGTTACAGATTGTACATCAGATGAATCATCATTCAAAGCTATCTATTGGATTTGGATCTATTTATTTATCTTTTATGGATCCTAGTATAACTGTCGTACGATGCATTGAAGACATAAGAAAAAAATGTTTATTTATTGGTTGTAGGTACCTACATAATATTCTTTTAGCTAGATACTGTACACTTATCATTATGCGCATGTTATGAGATGTAATTGCGAGTTAGGTTTGGTTATGCTATATACCTACTTTAGGGAAACAAATACACTAAATATGATTCACTGCCTCGATGGAGTAGGTAGTGGCTAGTGTGACTGCCAAGCAAAGGAAAGGTTCAGTTAGGTCCAGCAAAGAATTACTAAAGATTACTTTACGGATACTAGGATTCACTCAATAAAAATGGTATTAATCGTAAATAATTATAAAATTGAGGTAAATTAGGGCTCGTACACAAAATTGTGAAGCGATGCGATTCACAATGTAAAAAATTACGATGCTAATTGCTGCGATGCGATTTCGTACGACAAGGCGCCTCCCAGGGTGACCATTCCTTCGACGACCGTCAATCGTACTAAACGTAGGTATTTTAAATTGAAAACTAGGTCGTGACATGGATCGTAAAAAGAAGTGTGCACTTTTGTTATTGCTTAGGAGATACAGGAAAAAGAAAAAGATTTTGTGAAGATATTTTGATGCACGATGCGAATAAATTCGGAAGTTCTTGCGATGCGTAGAGGGAGCTTGCACGTTTTTGCGATGCCACGTGGCATCGCAGTTTTGTGTACGAGCCCTAAAATAGATATCTGATTTGGATCACTAGTAAGAAAGTGTCAATGGTGTCCCGACCAATCGCACCACATCGTGGTGAAAACGCAACCCAGTGAGTGCACCATGGTAAACAATGTCAAATCAAGACAGAAATACGTACCAAATTAAAACCACAAATAAATATAACAATTTTTATTCACACTTTTACGTAATATACAACCACTTTATGGTACGTGACGGTACAGAACTTTCACCGGACGAAAATACTTGCAAGTCAATGAATAACTCAGCCAGCATTTAACGAATTTCAATGACTGCTTTGTCGAATGCTGCAATAGGTCTTGGCGGCTGGCCCAGCGCTAGTACAGCATCTGTAAATATATAAAATTCGTCATTTTTTTCACCAAGATATGTACATTGGGTTACCCTATTTCTTTGTAAGTAGACAAATGTGGAGGTTTTCTTTTCAATAAGTTTACTTTTCAGTATTAATTTTATAGCGAAAATATTTGGATTTGCCAATAGGTAATGTGAAGCTATTGATATGAAAGTTATGTGACTTGGTAAGTGATCGCGAGTGCGGTGGTGCGGCACTGGTCACTGGATATGTGCTACTTGACTGTATACTGTGACGAGGGATCCACCGCCGCAGCAGGGCCTGCACGGATGACAACACGGCGCTGGTCGACAGCCGCCACAGCCCCTGAAAAATATAACAGAATTTCACTTGTACATAAATAAAATTAGCACCTACATTATAATACTTCATAATATATCTTTTTTGCTGAGGGTCAAAATCAAAGGCTCATATCAGTTCCGTACTTCCAAACGTCTCTCTAGGTCTCGGGATCTAAGAAGTATAAAAAAGCCTATCCCTGTTTCGATGCACATTGTAAAAGTAAAATTTGTCTGATAGAATCAAAAACTCACTGAATTGCAGACATTACTGATTGCAATCTGTTAATAACACCCATTCGATCACACATTTTTGTAAATTTGTAATTTATAATTTTCACGCTGTAAAATTTTGATTAGCCGAAACGGATTTGATAAAATGACTGGTTGTCAACGCGACACTACTTCGTGTTTAAAAAAGTGACAGTTCCTATTTCAAAAATATAATTATTATGTGCCTTATATTTTTAGCAAGAAGTATCAATACGTGTGTGACTGTCATTTAAAAGTATAAAAATGTACTTTTAATTTACTGATTTGTTGAGGTTAAGATTGAGAATAATATCAATTAAGATTTTTATTATTTACCAACTTACTTAACAGGTGTTGTATGAAGGAGCACATGAAGGATAGTGTGATTTCACCTGAAAATTAAAAACACATTATAATAAGATTATTATTCTTTCCCGAAGTGATGGTTGATTTACCACTTTTGTGTAACCCTGAAGGGTGTTGAAAGAAGTTATAGATCGTTAAACAAAGCAGACACTAATTGATTACAATATTTTCTGAACTGCCTAGGTGTGCTACGTAGTAGCTATTTATATTACCTACCTATCTAAAAACATCCGGCTAGATGTGTCTAGCGCTTTGTTTATTTAGCGCGGCAGTAAACTAATAACGCCTGAACTAAAACCACATGCAAAGTAAAAAAATGTGCATACCGGCCGTTCGTAATTGATGAGTTGGTACCGAACTTTCTTATCCTGGTTGTTGAGTACCATCCCGGGCCAGCTGGTAGGTCTGTAGTCGAACGTGCTGTCATGCACTATCAGGGGTCGGCGGACCGTCCAATTGTCCATCCCACAAGGAAGACATGACGGACCCTAAGACAAATAATGAGAGAAAAGAACAAATAAGAATTAACTAATAATTTAAGGGCGTCCTATGGTTGTTATGATGATAATGATGAATAATTTGGAAGGCTGGCATGGCCGAATAATCGGTTCTTCGGAAAGAAAATGAGATATAATAATTGAGAAAAACTAAATTAGAAAGATTTACAACGTTTGTGCTGTTTCTCTGTTTGATTAAGGTTACCGGAGGCACAACCCTACTATCGGAAATCCCCAAAAGATCCGTCATGTAGGTACTTGTAATTATTGACCTCTTGTTGCCTTCTTACGTCTAGGGTGATAGCTCTTACACACTGGCGCACGTTGCCAACAGCAGAGGCAACTGCTGCCGTCGACACGTGTCGGCGGCAACCGCTGACGCGTCGACCCAGCAGTCGACCGATAGCCACACTTGCAGTTATAGCGTTCTTCGAAGTTGAAATGTTGACAGCTTCCGTCGACGCGTCAACAGATGCCGCAGTCACATCGACGGTTACCGGCAGCAACTTGCCGCCGACACGCGTAGACGGCTGCAGTTACCTCTGCCGTTGGCAAAATGTCCCTCATGTGCAAGAGCTTTAATGATTTAGAGATTCGTATGTTCGTTTGCCCATTAAATATGTACAAACTAAAAATATCATTAAACTTACCCTGATAGGGATGCAAGGAATGTATGTTGGGGGTTCCTTGTAACTTGGCAAGCATTGTATTGGGCTGCACATTGTTTTACTTGTATTTGATTTAACTACTTTTATTAAAAAAATAATCAAAAGTATTTTTCCGTGTTTTCACTATTTTCTCGAATTCATTGATTTTATTTTTATTTTATTACATTTGTTGTCAACCTTTTTAGCTTTTTTCGGAATTTAAAAGTTGCCAGGTGCATGTAGAATATCGAGTATGGATACCCCTTGCATAAAGTCAGGAACATACTGGCCTATTAACGAAACAGGACCTTGTAAACTTATAGCAGTAGTACCTAATGAAAAATATGGAGAAGTAACATAACCTACAATGATGATAGAAACAATTACTCAATACGGTGATATTCAATATGTACTGCTTCAATAAACCTTGGTAGGTTGTAGAACAAATCATGCTCCGGTACACTATTTATAATCCGAATAGCACGCGAAATAGGAGCATATTTAAGAAGAGTAGTCCTAGCCCTTGGCAGGCAGCGTACGGCGCGTCGCGTTCCGCGCGCGCCTCAAAGAGCCATCAGACCACCACAGATGGGGCCCAATAAGGCCGATGCCGATTCGGCGTCGCGGAGAACCTAACAGGTAACCGGGGCTCCGGCTCGACGTGCAGGAGAAGGAACGGGGTGGTTTTTAGTCAGTAAGAGTCTGACACTCCCTTCTTCTCACCCAGACGGGAGCAGTCATTCGATGATATTCCCCCCTAAAAAAATTATAAATCTCATACAATTTCAAATACATAAATCTTGTCAACTTGTTTTGTATTTTTTCCAACATCTTAATGTATTTGTCCTCATGGGGATTCCAAATAATAGCACAAGTGTGGGAGAGCCATGCTTCGGCACGAAAGGGCCGGCTCGACGCGTGATACCACGGCCTCATAGAAAACCGACGTGAAGTAACGACCCAATCTCCCCAATCCCTGAATCCCCAACGATCCTCAAACTCCTAATCCCCAAAAGGCCGGTAACGCACTTGTAACGCCTCTGGTGTTCCAGGTGGCCATGGGCGACGCCGATTGCTTACAGGTGATCCGTCTGCTCGTTTACCGGCTTATGCCATAAAAAAAAACAAGTTTCAAGATGGCTTCTAACCAATGCATTATAAAGAATTTTAAGTACCGCTATACTTTTAATATGATTACCCTGTCTCAATTTAAATCCTAAATGTCCAAAAGATTTGCTACATAGATCCTTGACGTGTCTTGTTTATGCCTTAAAAATATTCGATCAAGATTCTGCCAAATAAAAGGAACCCAATATACTTAACTTGTTTAATACGTACCTAATTTAAATAAACGATCTGAAATACTTCTTCAAATTCAGTATTTTAAATAGAATTTGAAACTATGCAGCTGATCTCGGAAGCATGGATATAAGTTACATAAAATATTATACCAACTTTTACAAGCGGCTTCGTCCGCATTCAGCAATAAACCTCTTGTGAGTTGTGATGATGATGATGATAATAATGATAGAGTCTGATCACCTTCACATATACGTGACAAGCGAAAACTGTTCCTCGAAGCCAATTAGTTACACAAATACATGACCGAAAAAACGGAACCGGAAACACGAAATCAACAATTTGATTCCTATTCCTTTCTTAGAAATTTGCGTGGAATTTGTGGCTTGGTGTTGAGGGCAGGTTCATATTATGTTTTTGCTCTGGCGTTCAAAAGGTTAATTGGATCTCTGACCAATTTTCATTTTGTTCAATGACTTTCATATCTCACGATGTACGTACGGTCTCCAACCTGTGCAGACCTAGCCTTATCTACGAATGATATATTTCAGTAGTAAAACCTCTTTACCTTCCTAATTAAAGACTGGCCGACTTCAAGTTTCAAATAAATGTCAAATATTGTGGAATAGAAGTCAATAACGTTAGCAGATGTCAAATCAATTCAGTTTTTATAAATCTATCGTGTAGTTAACAGTAAACTTAAAAATTAAGAAAAAAAGTAGAAAATACGCGTAAAGTTCTAAAAACAGTATCTTCTAAGAAAAATATTTTACAAATATTTAAAACAAGCAATCTTTTGGACTACATAATATTATCAATTGATAAAACATCATCACCGACGGTGAAACTTACCCATTTCCTTTTGCAATAGATATTTTGAACTACTGACGAAAATGTAAGTATGGTACGATTTGTAGGTAGGTACAGGATACTAAGCTTTACAAGAAAGTAGACCCGCAACGGCGATATGTCACGACTGTTGCCACCAAAAATACTATTTAAAGTCCAAAGGACAGTCGACTGCTCTTGAGGGTTGAACTATATAAGTCCACAGGTGAGGGTTGTACTACTTAATTCCACAGGAGTAGACTGCTCGTGAGGGTTGTACTACTTAATTCCACAGGAGTACACTGCTCGTGAGGGTTGTACTACTTAATTCCACAGGAGTAGACTGCTCGTGAGGGTTGTACTACTTAATTCCACAGGAGTAGACTGCTCGTGAGGGTTGTACTACTTAATTCCACAGGAGTAGACTGCTCGTGAGGGTTGTACTACTTAATTCCACAGGAGTAGACTGCTCGTGAGGGTTGTACTACTTAATTCCACAGGAGTAGACTGCTCGTGAGGGTTGTACTAATTAATTCCACAGGAGTAGACTGCTCGTGAGGGTTGTACTACTTAATTCCACAGGAGTACACTGCTCGTGAGGGTTGTACTACTTAATTCCACAGGAGTAGACTGCTCGTGAGGGTTGTACTACTTAATTCCACAGGAGTAGACTGCTCGTGAGGGTTGTACTACTTAATTCCACAGGACAGTCAACTGCTCGTGGGGGTTGTACTATTTAAGTTCACAGGAGTAGTAGTTGGTTGAGTTGTATAGTAATAAAAACACATTACCGAATTCAGGTGTGGTGGTTGCGGTGGATGCGGTGGCTGCGGCCCTTGCGGCGGGTGCTGTGGCGGCTGTGGGCCGTGCGGCGGCTGCTGCGGCGGCTGCTGCGGAGGATGCTGCGGCGGCTGCTGCGGTGGATGCTGCGGCGGCTGTGGCTGTCCAAGGATCACCATCCATACCCGTTGTACGAAGATCTGTTAATTGTCAGGGACTGCCAGCAAACGAGCACTACGTCAAGACTACGATACGACGTCAAGTCGTAGTGTTGGCCACGTATCGTACTGCGTCCTATTCGTGCTGTCTACACATTTGTGCTGTCAACTCAGTGATGTTCAAATATAATTTGGTTAATTTAAGTTTGTCTTTTATTTTATTTTAGGGCCGTAGGCTGATAGTTTAGGCCGCATTTTCACGAGGGGACATTTGTTCCGCGACTCTGTCGCTCGACACGAACGTGTCCCTCGACAGTCGCCGGACAGGCTTTGAGTAGTGAGAACGTGTCGCTTCTGGAAATGGCAAGTAATGTGGTCCAACGAGTATACCGACTCGTCCTCGGGCGACACTGATCACAACTTGGACTTGTAGGATATTGTGGCTCAACCTCAACACAAGGTTGCAGAGATATTCCACGTAAAAATGTTTTGGGCCATATGTAGCAGCGGTAATTACATATAACATTTTCCTTTCCGAGATTCATAGATATTTTAGCCGCAAAAGAGGCAATCTCCGTTTCTTTCTATATAGACGTTTCTCCTCCCTAGGGATCGATTCCCTTCCTTATAGGTAGTAGAAGTATTCCCCCCCCCTTCTGGGGCCAGAGGCACCTAGCTGATAAGCCCTCTCCTCCCGGGGCCAGAGGCACCTAGCTAATAACAACTAGCCGAAGGGCTTGTCAGCTAGGTGCCTCTCTGGCCCCGGGAGGAAGGGCTTGTCAGCTAGGTGCCTCTGGCCCCGGAAAGGGCTTAAAGCCGGGTATTCATTAGGCAACATTTGTTAATAAACTGTTTGACGGGTTTATTAACAAGTTTACCGTAAACACTGTTTCTGAAACTTGGCAGTCCACACTTCTCAGGAAGAAAAGGTGGTGGATTCGAAATTATCTTTTAAATAGAAGTTATGTATTTCATGACCTTCGTGGATTTGATGGGTCTTTTCAAAATTTCACGAGAATGTCAACATCAGATTTTGAAATTTTACTGAGATTGATTGGACCAGCCATAACAAAACAGGAAACGAAATTTCGGCATCCTATTGAGCCCCAGAGAAGACTAGCTATAA